GGGGGGGGGGGGGGGGACGGAAAGGTGGAGTTCTGTCGTCATTACAAAACAAGCCCACAGACATCAAACATAGAAGAGATTTATTATTATCTTTTTTTATTCATGTGTTTAAGTATTTATTTTTATCCCTGTGAATATTTTTCCCGCACAAGTTACTTAGTGGCAAGTGTAATTCTTTTTTTTCCTCCATTTTCTTCCTTTTTGATGAAGATGTTTTCCTAAACAGCGTCGTCTCTGTAGATGCGAAAATCCATAGCTTTTGCATGAACATAGCTATAACGAGATTTACGGTGAGTAAATTTATATCATAATTATTCTCAATATACTATTTTAGATATTTCACTTGTGGCCTGGTTATAAATATTACTTTAAGTACCCAGTAACAGTGCCCGATACCATAATTGTAAACTCAGTTCAAACTGAAAATGTCACTAATTGTTTCCACAAACGCTACAAACCTCCTTCAATTTGCTGAGCTTTCACTTGTAATTCCTCGGTAGAATACTTTTTGCCAGATTTGGAAATTCCCCGAGCACGTCACTGGTAAAGGTTCACTCCAAGAGAAATGACAAATGCAATCCCTAAGACGACGGATGATACTACAGATGCTGCAATGTTAAAGTTCCTATCAGTGACTCAATAGGCGATTTCTAAATACAACCACGTTCCCATCCTTACGTCATATCCCTTCTTCCCTCAAAGGGACGGAGGGAGAGCATTTTGGGAACTTGGTTGTTGCTTATAATGCATAGATATTCCAAAATTCAGCTAAATTCATTAAAAAAACCGTCTTTTAGTTCGAATACAATTAATATTGGGAAACTATAAAAAAATCAACTAACAAACCTGTGTTTGAAGGTTTGTCCCATGATTGCGAGCCGGTGTCTCCTCCCTGTATGTCTGCATCATCAGATTTGTAAACCAAAGGTGTGAGCATAAAAATGAGTTAAAGAACATTCCAGCCAGTCAGTCAGTCAGTCAGCCTTTCAGTCAATCAGTCGGACAGTCAATTAGTCGGTCAGCCAGTCAGTCAGTCAGTCTGAAGATGGTTAGGTTAGCTGACCCGTCATTCTGACTCTTTCTGGTAGGTGAATCACACACACGGTTGATCTATCACTCATTACAAAGGTTAAGAGGCACCTTTACGGCAAACAGCAGACGCAAGTTGAGAATTCCTCAAAATAGAAAATTAACAGATAAAAATAGTCTAAACAAATTCTTTGGATAAAAATAACGAGAAACTGCTTATTTGTTGTAGAAGCAAAGAACAGTTGAAGAAAAGTGAGGGGAAAACTTGGTAACGTAGCACAAATTCAAATTCGCGTTTACCGCGGCTTGCCCGCAAACGGGATTCTAAATCTCTCGGGCTCTGTTCTTTCGGTAGCTGAACGTGAGTCGTTGGTCAGATAGTGAGTTTCAGGTTCAACAGTCTCTCACTGAATCATTCAGTCCGTGCATAGGAGAGTTTTCTCTATCTATCGGTTAGTCTGAAGTCAATAAGCCAATTCAGTATAGTTCCTCATTCTATTTGTCTGTCAACTACATGTATAGTCCTCTCAGCAATAATGAAAAGTTAAAAGTTCCATCTAAAACTACTGCTGAAGAGGTTTCACTTATATGGCCGGTCACACCATAGGAAACCCCTCCTTATTACGTACAGATTCCCGTGGTCCATGCCGGTGGGTGGTTGAATTAACAGGGTTTTTGTGCTGTTTCTGGGTTAAGCAAGAACTATTTTTGGTGCCGTTGTTTTTTCAACCTTCTGCATTACATCATTTCGTGATCGTACCCTTACGCAACTGAAAATAACTTCTGGTTTTCGGTATTGCCGTATATTATCGAAGCGGGACCAATGGCTTTTAATTTTATGTCACAGAAATAAAATGGAACGCGAAAAAGGAAAACAGAATCTGCTTAACCTTTCTTGTTTCTGATTCAGTCGGATAAATAAAAGGAACGTTTTAAAGAAAGGCTATTCCCACACAAAATATGAAAAAACAATCTTACCTTTCTCTATTTGAACTTTGGCAATTAGACTTGCTTTACCAAGCAGATAGTTTTGATCCACAGAACGTTTCTGAAAAAGAGGATAGATTCTGTCTAGTGCTGACTGCATACATGCCACGCATGCGTAATAATAACCTGCAGGTTAGATTTGCGGGCTCCTATTGTTCTGCGTCAGGTAATAACCTGATTTTTGTGAGTTTTTAAAAATGTAATAAATCTTTAATAAAGCAGTTGATGTTGGAAAAACGATATCAGCTGAAATTCTATGGTGTGACGACTCAAACGCATTGTCGTCGCGATCGGCAACTGAATTTTGCACAGAAGCATTTGTTTTTCGGGGATTTACAAAATGAAATGTGTACACTTTAGTGAAGTTTGCGTAATGAAGGTTAAGACCCTTGATAAAACGGGCAACAAAAAACGTGCAACTTGTTTAATTTTTCCACATTGCTGCAAGACGAGTTGAATAGCGATGTTGCGCGTTTTACCACCCACTAAAAAAATCTTGCAACCGATTTTGTTGTAAGACACATTCGAACGATGATGGTAAAACGCGCAACATCGCTGTTCAACTTGTTTACCTTTGTTGCGCGGCGAGCCAATCCTCTGGAATATATCTTGTACTTTTGACCATTTGACAGTTGCTTGTTTTCATAACCATCATATGTTTTACCATCTCCGATCTCAAAAACCATGGATGGATTCACAGAATTAGCGGGGATTTGAGCAGCAATATGTATATCTGATCCAAGTGTCTTGAAGTCAGAAACCTCGTTATACCAGTCATTCACTTTATGCACCAAAACTTGATAATCACTGTCAGTATCAGAAAAATAAAAACAAAATAGAAAGACACATGTCAGAAAGCTTTTACTTCTAACTGCTCATAAAATTATCGATTCACAAATGCTATAAGTCTGTCGACAATCAAAGTCAAAATGAACCTCAAGCGAGGAACATCAAAATTATTTACCGATGACTTCTCTTCTCTGGTTTGTAACACTATCGCACACAACGATCCGGCCGGCAACATGATTCAGAGAGACAATTGGTTTGCAAGTCTTTAAGTGCAATCAATTCGTCACTGAACTGTGACATTTTGAAGAATATTATTTTAATAGTAAAGGCGAAGCAAAGAAAAAATTTCCATTTACGTCAGCCATGTGTAAGATTTTCTCTTTATGTACTTGTTTACAGTTGTATAATATTTTCAAGGGTTTATAAGATGACTCATACCTGATGGGACCATTGGTTTGTAATGCATGCCACACCGTGACATTCACAGATGTTCCTTTTGTTTCGATTAGGTGGACGTCATGGTTTACAGGCGCCAAAGGTGCTGTAAGCCGAACAAAATATAACACTGAAAATAGGAGACTTTATAACTTAGCCATTTACACAGTGAAACCGGAAATTCCATCGATTGCTATGGTGCTATTCTACTGCTATTCTATTGCAGTGGTTCTATTCTATCTGGAAAGATTCTGAGAATAATTATGGGCTGTAGTTCCAGTTCATCGGTGTTTTCCTCTCCTTTCAATTTCTTCCGCTGGCTTGTTGTACTTAGTAACATTTCTTGCTCCTCCAATTATCGAATATTTTTATCAGTGGGATCACCTACTCCTTCCCGCCCCCTGCCCACTACCAAAAAATGAGGACCCCCACCCCTCTCACCTCTTTATTAATACTAATGACTAGTAATAACCAAAGGTTACAGGGTGCGGGCGACAACGATCGAAGATCAAAAGGCTTTTGCTCTATCGCTGTGCTTTGCGTAAGTTTCACGTGATAGATGGTCGAAAAACGCGTGATCAGATTACGAGCGATAGAAGGTCCAAACGCGAGTGATAAAATGGCGTTATGTACATTCCATTCATTTTTAGTGAAAGTCCAAACGAATGCTGGCTACGTACATCCGACGCATGCTCAATAGCAACCCGCAGATTAGGATTGCGGGCTCCTCTATGTTATGTTCTACTCGAAAGAAATTTATCCTAAGATTTGTTTCTGTATGTTTGTTTGTTTGTTTGTTTTATTTTAATTTGGTTGTTTTTGATTTATTTTTTTAATTCAGTGTTATCACTGGTAGGTTTCTCCGCCCTCATCTATGAGCACAAACTTATTTTCCCTGATGGAAGGTTTGAAGATAGTTTAAGAGGACATCGTTATTGAACAACGAAACTTACCCGCACAGTAAATAACTTACCATCCACTTTTGTGCTTCCCTGCGCAATAGAACTATTGCTTCCGTAGCTACAGTAGGTTTCAGCCATCACAACAAAAGCATACTTTGTACCAGGGACCAGATTGGTGATTGTCAATCTTAACTTTGGACACTCTGTTTCTTGAATTCCAGTATGCGGTTTAAATTCTGGATAATAATCCTTTGTACCTTTATAGATTATCTGCGGTATACATCAATAACTGTTACCTAATTATATGGTTGTCTATAAGGCTACGCCGACAAGGCAAGGAATTTTCGAACGGCCGAAAAATTTGACCGGACTCTTCGTTCACACGGGATCGTTCATTATTTTCGCTTTTTCACACGGAAATTTGAACGGCGAGGCGTATAAATTTTCGCACGGTCAAGGTGGTTTCGTGAACAGATCATCTAAACGCACGAATTTGCAACTGGTCGAATCGCCCCATACAAGGGAATCCGGATTCTTGGGTCTTGGAAACCAGATTACATCTCAAGGAATCCAAAATCCAAGTTCTACGGACAAATACTGGAATACAGCACCTAGAATCCGGAATCCACAGTGTTGAATCCAGAATCCAAAACTATCCTGGATTTCCTTACAAGAGGCGGAGTCGAAAATTCGTCCGGTGCCCTATGAAGGCAGAATACATTGTATATGATCCAATGTCAGAGGACTGGGGCGAAGTGTGTAGTCGGTCTCACAGTTATCACTATTCACTCAATTAAACGCCGCTTGCAATCAGAAGAATTTCGTGTTTATTCTAGCATTACATGAAAAAACACACAAAAATTGCACAATTTTGGTTTTATCTCAGAAGAAAAGGCAAGGCATTAGAATTATTTCTTTCAGATGTTGTTCTTTCGAAATATCCCAACAAATCCCATAATTTCAAAAATTTGATTTTTATGACGTCATCACTTAAGAACTCTATAAATATTCTTTATAAAGAAAGTCAAAAGTTACCTTGTAACGTTGTACATCAACCCCGTGTAGTTTCGGTTTACCCCACCGCAAGGTTATGCTCCGTTTACCAGGATTTTCCGTCTTCGCGTCAGTTGGTTCACTTGGAACTACAACCAATCAGTAATGATCATTTGCAATGATTGTAAGGGATGAACGCACAATCTATGAGAACGAGTCAAATACATTGCCCTTCCGGCAAAGAACATTTTCGACTATGCTAAATACAAGGTACGCATAAGTTTTTGCTTACTTAAAGACACAATAACATTTGCAGTGGTAAAATGCCTGCTTTGTATTCCAGAAAGTGACGCAGAGCATTGGTAGGTTGAATTACACTGGACTTCACTGGCTGAATGGAGCTTTCTTGAACAAGAGTTACTGTAGATATTACTGGCACTGTTGTATGGTATGGTAAGAGAGGAGGTTGTGTCAGACAGCCTCATTCCATCTTTGCTCCAGCTATACACAGAGGGCTTCCGAGGGCTGTAACTACCCACACAGGTTAGAGTCACAGATTCACTAGTGTCGGGTATCAAACGAACATCATCAAGATTAATGTTTAACGCCAACGAAACTTGGTCTGAAAAAGACGGGCAAATAATCAATCTAAAGACGACAAGAAATAACTTGGGAAACTTATCAAATACAATATCTCAATTTTACACACGATTAGGTTTATTGAATCTGATTGGCTGTGAGCAATGCAGATTTTAACATCGTGCGCTTAGCGGTACAGGCGGCCATCTTGCTTTCATTTGTACCAAGGGAGGGGGGGGGGGGTTGTCGGGGTTTATAGCATGAGGGGTTTATGTAGGGAGAGGGAGGCGAGAAAGTAGAAAGGTACATGGCCACCCGTAATGTAAAGCGGTTGATCTCGAGGAACTTACGGAAATATAAGGGACTGTAAACAGTTTATAAGTAAACACAGTGCAAAAACGAGGAAATATAATTCAATTATCAGAGAATGAAGAACAGTGATTGGCAGAAAACAATAGAATTTTTTAATAACCAATCGAGTGCCGCAAATCTTTATTGGCCACTTTGAGGTTGCGCGTGAGACTGGGGTCAGGTGTTGTGTCGATCGAGTTGCATTGTGGGGATGTTTTGAGGACGAATTTTGATCCAGTAAATTTTTGCCCGTTTGATACTTTTTTGAAAAACACACTCGTGTAATTAAATTGCAAATTGAACTCGAAGTTGTAGGACAACCCATACAAACACTGTCTACTGGCAAAAAGGTTTGCATTACGATACAAACTTCACTCTTAAATGCAGATGCCGCCGTTTTCGACGACAGCACTTAGCCTGCCAGTAGATGTCTCAATCCCATTTCCTCTGCGCAGGCTAGAAAGTGCTGCATCATACCAACTATAGCACTAAAGTACTTATTATGTGGCGAGCGGGAAAGATGAAGCACATTCCTTGTTCTCATTGGTTACCCGAGGAAGCAAGATGGGGAGGAGAGTTGTGTGACAAGAGAACGGCTGCGTGCGATACTAAGATTAAGCTCGTTTGTGTATTCAAATTTTTAAGCTTAATTTACTTTTTAGCTTAAATTGCTATGCACATTTGAGCTTTTATGTTCTTTGTTAACATTCAAAGCATTGTAACGTTCTTCTGATCATAGTTGCATGGAAAAGGCGCGTTATAAATTTTTAATTAATAACACTATTAATTATTGGCTGTATACGGCAGTACATGTACCCCATTAATTCAAATTTTTACAAATTCCCCTCTAACAAATCATACTTACAATCCTTACAACCAAACAAGTCCATTCTCATACATATTTCACCAGTATGTGTTTTGGGAAATATTCTGACATATTGCGCTGCAAACGGGGGAGCAAACCAGTGGACAACAATGGTACTTCTGTCGCTGTTTCCAGTCAAATGCTGAGTGGTAGATCAAGAACAAAGTAAGTGGAGATATACAAATAATTTTATTTAAAAGAGACCACAATCTGTGTGGTATATTCCCAAATCGGCTGAAGAGGAGCGCTAGAGGTGATGGGAAGGAGAAATTTTTCCCATCGCCCCTCGCGCTCAATTCGGTTACGCTTCTCGTGACTGAGGACGAGTCAGCCAAAGCGAGGTTGCAAATGTCCGTTCAGGAGCCCCTTCACTGCCCCTTCCTCGAAATTCCGGTAATTAACGACCAAACAAGAAAAGTTGTCAGGGATTAAGCTCTGAGTAAATCTTCAGCTTCAAAATAATAACCTTCTCTGCTTGATCTGTCTACTGACATTATGTCCGAAAAGATTTAAACATTCATTAGTTAAACTCGAGTTGTGTGATTTTGTTTTTACTCACTTAAAGTCTACTTGAAAGTTTAAAAAAGAGCTATAGATGTGAATGAATCTGCATTTCCTTTGAATATTTAGTACGTTAGATAGTCACAGACAGTTACTGTACAAATAGGTTCATTGCGAAGCTTCAAATTACAGGCTGTAATCGGACAATATCGGACTAAAAATATGGGTACATTGTTCGACTCCTACAACCTACGTTTTGAGGCCAGAGACTCGCCACCAACAAAGCTCGCAATATGATACTTTTTTGTCTCAAGCCCGAGGTCAGTGTCTCAACCGTGTAGCAAAATGAGACGAAATACGGTAAAAGACTGGAAGACGGCAATTGGACGATTGCCAATCGCAAAACTCGTTCTTTCATAAGGCTTAATAATGCCTTCCGGAAAACTTTGCTCCAGGCGGCCAAAACAAACTCTAGAAAATTAACCGACCACAGAAAACAACTTCTATCGCGCGCGCTGATTTCAAGTAGGATTGTTTTATCACACGAACATGAGAATTATGGGAAATGATCGCCGGTAGTGGTAGTCCAGGTAGGGCCGGGGGGAGGTGGGGGGCGGTGATGGAAGATGTAAACAGCATTATAAACACATGATTTTTTAGGGTTTACCTCGGTGTAAAAACCTGTGAAGTTTTTCTTTGTTTTCTAGTTATTATCTTCCTTGGCTCTATTGTGTTAACTTCTCAGTGGCTTCTTTGTATTCATTGTTTTACGTCACTCGTGAGTTTCACAGGCGTTTACACCGAGGATGAGCCTGATTTTATGTCCACTGCAGCTTGTTAGAGGATTTGTGCATTCAAAATGTTATAACAAAGAAAAAACGTAAAGGAAACAAGCCCCAAATGAGAATGTCTGGGAAAAACTCCTGGAGGTCCCTTTAAGCAAATCCAGACAGATGTATGAATCCATGTTGCAAATTTACCTTTCCAGTTTCGTAACTAATCCATGTTTTACCATCATACCCATAGCGGATTAAATAATTTGTCACCCAGTTGTCCCCTCGAGCATCTCCCTGAGTGGCCACGCCTGTGACTGTTACAATTTGTCCGAAATCAGCCTGTAAGTACTGAGGTAGAGTTGCTGAAGAGCTGCACCAACCGTCAGTACCATAAAGGCGACTATAAGTAGCTCTATAACTGCTAAGTTCTGAGGATGCTGTAATTGTAAAATCCCTGTTTTGAAATCGTTCATTCTTAAACGATTTAAAGCAACCTGTAAAAAAAAAAAACAAAGAAATATGGCATTTTATTAAGAATTTTTATGTACTGTTTCAAAAACGAGCAGTTTCGAGTATCAGGTTTAACCCTGATAATACAAACTGCGAGGTTTTGAACGACTTCAAAATCTCTGATATAGATCAACTCACTCTTGCACTGATATTTAGATTTGGGGTCATTTTGGTCTAAAAAATTGGACGTAAAGTTCAGCCTTGTCTTTATCAGACATAACGACAGGGGCACCTAACGTCGGTTTCCTCCTAAATGCATTGACGACACTTTTTAGGCTATACAGAGTACTTTTAGATCTCTAGAAATGTATTCTAAGTAGCGCTAAAAATTTTTATTTGCTCGGTCATCCTAGGGCAACTTGAGTCTTTTCGAAATTACAAGGGCTTCTGCATTATTTTTCCGAACATTTTAGCTGCAATTTAGAGTTTTACGAAACGGAGAATTTTTCTCTGCATCGCATTTTTGGTTCCAAAACTTTTAGGCTTCCTTTCTCTACTAAAAAAATGGCTTAACCTGGGGAGTGAAATGG